TGGTGTTGTCGTTGCAGCGTCCAGTCCATCCTTTCCATGTACTGCCCCATGCCGTCCACTGTGAGGGTTAGCCGATTTAGGGTGTCAGCTATTGACTGCAATGAGGCCTTGGCGGGAGCGGGGCCTGGTGCCCGACTGGGTCCTGCGCCGGTTCTGTCCTTGGACTTCTTTCGGAAGGTGCTGTCTTGGATGATCCAAATCTTCGTCATCTTTGTGTCCGGGCCGGCGATGTGGATGTGGGAGGCAACAATGAGATCCATGACGAGGAAGGCGTATGTCAAGCTCCGCTCGGTGGTGATGGAGGCGCAATCCGCCATGTGAATCATGACGTATTTTGCCCAATTGATCGAGGCGCCATGGATGATAGCATGAACCGCCTTGAGATCCTCGTTGGAGAGAGAGGTGTGGCTACTGTCCCGGGGGCGAAGAATCCGGGTGAGGATGTAGAGTAGGAGACGCTTTTCCGGCGAGGCTGGAGATTGGAGTAGAAGGCCCAGACATAGGCGGGATTGAAGGAGATGCGGCTCTTGGAGACGAAGGGCCACAAGCCCGACTCCTTGAGTTGATTGTCGAGGTCGTGGTACCCTTTTTGCTGGGGAAACCACTCGGGCAGCACCCTTGGCGGAGAGATACGGCGTTTAGCGAAGTGGGTGATGAAGCGAGTGAGTTCTTCCTCCGAGCCAAACTCGAGAAAGGATCCGTCCAGGTACGGAAAGGGTTGAGGCGCAGAGGTTGTGGCCTCAGTAGTGACCATCTTCTTGGCATCTTTGCTCTTGGACTTTCCTCCGGCCATGATTGTAGCGTTTCTTAAGAAAGATTGATGAGTTAAGTATAATTGGCTAAAGAAATGAAAATATGATGTTAATTGTATGTTAAGAAGGTAAGGGATGAGGTGAATATATAGGGAGAGGAAGAAGAACCTGTGTGAATTCAAAAAATATGGCTGTTGGGCATTAAATTCGGTGCCCAACGGCCATAATTTTTGAATTTCAACTGCCTTCCCAGCGATGGTAAGAACTGCCCATCAATGAGAGGGTCGCTACTGGAAAGCGAGAAGAAAGCAAGGCTGCCTTCCCAGCGATGGTAAACTTCACCCATCGATGAGAAGGTGGCAACTGGAAAACCGATAAAACCTTATAAAAAATAGTGTCAAATACCCAGCGATGGGAGAAAGTTCCCATCGATGGGTAGGGAGGCTCTGGAAAAAGTTTTTGAAACTGAAATCATTCACCCAGCGATGGGATAAAAGACACATCGATGGGTAGGGTGTTTTTGGAAAAAATTTTCTTTGACAAAAGTCCTTCACCCAGCGATGGGATGAAATACCCATCGATGGGTAAGATGTTGCAGGAAATCCGTAAAAGGTTTTTTTTAAAAAAAAATAGAGTCAATTACCCATCGATGGGAGAAAGTACCCATCGATGGGAAGAGAGGTTCTGGAAAAAAAAGACTTCCCTCCCAGCGATGGTACACCCCACCCATCGCTGGTACCCCCTGATTTCTAGAATTCTTCACTTCGAACCGTCCCTACAAAAAAGAGTTAGAAAACCCTTCGACGCTCAAGTTAGTAAACGTTCACACAAAGATAAAAGAGTGATAAAATGCACAAATTAGATCATCGTGGAGTCAAGGATTCCGAGTTCACTACGAATGCAGAAGAATGACTCTTTCTCTAAAGGTTTTGTGAAAATGTCAGCTAATTGGTTGTGTGTTTCAACAAACTCAATTTCGACATCACCTTTGAGAACATGATCTCTAATGAAATGGTGCCTAATGTCAATGTGTTTCGTCCTTGAATGAAGAACGGGATTCTTCGTCAAGCTTATGGCGCTAGTATTGTCACATTGAAGTGGAACGTGACTGATACTAAGGCCATAGTCCACAAGTTGTTGCTTCATCCAGAGAGTTTGAGCACAACAACTACCGGCGGCAACGTATTCCGCTTCGGTTGTGGATAACGCAACACTGACTTGTTTCTTGCTAAACCATGAAACTAGAGAGCTACCAAGAAAGTGGAAGGTCCCACTCGTACTTTTACGGTCCAATTTGCAACTGGCAAAGTCTGAGTCGGAGTAACCAACCAGATGACACGAAGAGCCTTTTGGATACCACAGTCCAACGTTAACCGTGCCTACAAGGTATTTCATGATCCGTTTCACCGCCGTTGAGTGCGATTCCTTCGGACATGATTGATACCTTGCGCAAAGGCATACGCTAAACATGATATCCGGCCTACTAGCGGTAAGGTAGAGAAGGGATCCGATCATACCTTGATACTTTTTGACTTCAACTTCCTTACCTTTTTCGTCTTTGTCTAGGTGGTCGGACGTGCTCATCGGGGTCGCCATGGCTTTGGCGTTGTCCATTTTGAATCATTTTAGGAGCTCCTTGCAATATTTGGTTTGGCAAATGAACGTGCCATATTTCATTTGCTTGACTTGGAGTCCCAAAAAGAATGTAAGCTCTCCCATCATGGACATTTCAAATTCGCTTGTCATTAGCGTTGAGAATTCCTTGCATAAAGACTCATTAGTAGCACCGAATATAATATCGTCTACATAATCTTGAACCAAAAGGATGTTATTGTTTTTACTCTTGATAAAAAGTGTAGTGTCAACCTTTCCCCTATGGAAACCACTATCCAAAATAAATTTACTCAAACGTTCGTACCAAGCACGGGGTGCTTGTTTAAGACTGTAGAGCGCTTTCTTGAGTTTGAAGACATGGTCGGGAAACTCAAAGTCCTCAAACCCCGGGGGCTGGTCAACATACACTTCCTCTTGAATAAAACCGTTGAGGAAGGCACTCTTAACATCCATTTGATAAAGTTTAAAGTCCATAGACGAAGCAATAGCAAGAAGTAAACGAATAGCTTCTAAACGTGCTACGGGTGCATAAGTTTCTTCGAAATCAATGCCTTCTTCTTGATTGTAGCCTTTAGCCACGAGCCTAGCTTTGTTTCTAGTGATTATTCCATTTTCATCAAGTTTTTTACGGAACACCCATTTCGTACCAATAACCGTACGATCATCGGGTCTTGGCACCAATTCCCAAACATCATTCCGTTTGAATTGGTTTAGCTCCTCTTGCATAGCCAAGGTCCAATGTTCATCGTTTATTTCTTCGGAAATGGTTGTAGGTTCAATTTGAGAAACAAAAGCCATGTGTCCTACGGTGTCCCTATCCCTAAGTGAGTTACGAGTACTTACCCCGCGGTTGATGCTACCGATTACCTGGTCAAGCGGATGGTTCTTGTTTGTTCTCATGCTATGGGAAGCTCGGTTGCTTCTTCTTCGTCTTCCTCTTGTTCTTCTTCTTCCTCCTGATTTTTTTCTTCACCTTGGTTAGTCGCTTGAGGTATCTCCCCAGTTTGCAGCTGTGTGTTGATGTATATTCCCGTGTTTTCTTCATCGTCATCAACGTGTATTCTCTCTAATGAATCTGCAAGATCATCACAAATATCCTTTCTCGCCAAGAGAGGATTATCTTTGGAAAATACAACGTGAGGAGACTCCTCAATAGTCAAGGTACGTTTATTGAAGACTCTATAGGCCTTGCTACGTAATGAGTAACCCAGAAAAATTCCTTCATCCGACTTGGCATCAAATTTGCCTAAATTGTCTTTGCCATTGTTATGAATAAAACATTTGCAACCAAAGACTCGAAGATGGGAAAGATTTGGCTTTCTCCCTTTGTATAGTTCATAGGGCATTTTCATGAGTATCGGTCGAATGACGGCTCGGTTTAACACGTAGCTCGCGGTACTCACGGCATCCGCCCAAAAATACTTAGGGATTTTTGCCTCATTGATCATAGTTCTAGCCATCTCTTCGAGACATCTATTTTTACGTTCCACCACTCCATTTTGTTGTGGTGTACGTGGAGCTGAGAAATTATGATCAATGACGAGTTCGTCACATAAATCTGAGAAAAGATTTCGTTCGAACTCTCCCCCATGGTCGCTTCTTATGGCTACTATGGTTGATTCTTTTTCATTTTGAACTTTCTTTAAGAAATTTTTGAAAACATGAAATGCCTCACTTTTGTGAGTTAGAAACAAGGTCCATGTAAACCTAGAGTAGTCATCGACAATCACAAACGCAAAGTAATTGCCACCAAAACTTTTCGTTCTAGAAGGACCAAAGAGATCCATGTGCAAAAGTTGAAGCGGTCTAGACGTTGAAAGAACGTTCTTAGACTTAAACGAAGCCCGAACTTGCTTCCCCTTTTGACATGCATCACATATGGTGTCTTTTTCAAACTTAAGTTTTGGAATGCCAATTACTAAGTCTTGTGAAACCAATTTGTTCAAAAGGTTCATGTTCATATGAGCTACCCTTCGGTGCCATAGCCAAGTGTCTTCCTCTTTACTCATGAGGCACTTAGCATAGCCGGAAGGAGATTTGTCTAAATTAACCATATATATGTTATCGATTCTATCACCACGTAGAATGACCTTATTGTCACTAAGGCGTTCTACAGTGCATGATTTTGAATCGAAGGTCACACGGTTTCCCTTGTCACATAATTGACTTATGCTCAAGAGATTGTGTTTAAGACCTTTGACTAGATAATGTCTTTCTAGTCACCTAGAGGCGGTTTCCCTACTGAACCGACGCCGATAATTTTTCCCTTGCTATTATCTCTAAAGACTACGTTTCCTCCTTTAGCGGGTTTGATTTGTAGGAACTTGGATGCATCTCCGATCATGTGCTTGGAGCATCCGCTATCAAGGTACCAAAGTACACTTGACGCCTTCAAGCATATATACCTACAAAAATGATTTAATAAGATTTAGGTACCCAAGTCTTTTTGGGTCCTTGAGTGTTAGGTGCAAAGTGGTAGTGTGATTCATTTTGTGCCCAGTGCTTATGCCTAGTAAAGCAAACGGGAGCTATATCTCCTACCCTATTGCAATAATGGCAAACTACGTTTGGGTTGTGCATCCTCCTAGGTTGATAGTAGTTGCTAGGGGGCCTAACCATATTCATCCTGTTTTGAGAAAACATTGGTTTTTGAAAATTTTCCCTTCTAGGTGTCCTAGAATTATTTTGTCTATTTGAAAAATTATTTTTATGCACGAAATCATTTTGATAATTTTTCCTAAGTTGTCTAGCATGCACATTTTCATTCCTAGGTTTTTGTCTAGATTGTCTAGTGTCCCTAGATTGACTAGATTTTCTATTATCCTGATTTTTGACTTTCTTATGTTGAGCCTTAGGAGGTTGTCTAGGTGTTTGCTCAATGTTTTTATCCTTAGATTCATTTTTATCAAAACCTATTCCTTCCTTAGAAAAATGCATAGTGTCTAGGAGTAAATTAAGATCTTTGTGTGGTGTATTAAACTTCTTAACCGTACTCTCAAGTTTTGCAACCTTTTCTTTTAAAGTTTTGCAAGATTCACATTCACTTGAAGAACTTTCTGGTTTGTCAGCGCTTCTTTTGCCATAAAATTTGTTTTCTTGTTTCAACCTTTCATTATCTTTTTCCAGCTTTTCAAAATCATTTTCAAGGGTTGAAAGACGTTTCTTTAATGATTT